AGCCCTCCATAGAGGAAGATCCCAGCTGGGACAATTCTCCCGGTTAGAGGAGAAAACCAAGAAATGGTTCATGGGCATGTCTTTTTTTCATGGAAACTCATGTTTTCAACCAGCTTGAAAACTGGTGTAGAAGCTCCTGTTTCCACAGCCCACAGAATCAGTAGGAAAGCAGGCATGTTGAGACAGAGGAGGGAGCGGTTGCAGCACTCTGTATTCTCTATATTGTGGGTTGCATATCCCTCATAAATCGGGTCAGTCCTTTCTATCAACTCTAATTCATGTAAGCAGGGCACGCTTGGGTTCAAAGCAGCCCAGGAATGACAGATAGGATGATGACTTAGTGGTTTTCCTGAGCTTTGAGGCTGTAATGTACCATTTAATCAAATGTACGTTACAGCTCTCTTAATCAACAGAGCCCAAAATGTAACCAGACTTGCAGTGATTTTACTCCTTTTTCAAGCCCATTGATTTGAGCAGGGCTTTGTGCAGGCAACCTTATAAATAGTATGAGTGAGGTCTGTACCATCTCAAGGTTGGTCACTTGCCCTCTCTCACAATCTTGCAAATAATAATAATTATATTTTGCCCATCCTCTTTTTCTTCATAGAAAAATATGACAGCTCTTTTGCCTCATAACAGAAAGGAAGTCCTGCTCACTATGACTGAAGCAATGCCAGCTGCTGGAAACAGTACACTGAACTGCTTGGAGCTGCTGGAAATAGTAAACTGAGCAGCCATTACTTCTCAGTGGGGAAAAAAAAAAAAAAAAAAAGTATTTAAAAGTAAGTCTCTGTTTATGATGGTACCTATCCAGCCCCATTGTAGAGCTCTCTGAACAAATCACACCTTCTAATGTGATAATCTTCATTACAGGTAAACATGGTTATTTTATAGAAACACAGTCTTGCAGACACAGAGCTGAGATTTTTTTCCTATTTATACCACAAAATTTTAGAGGCCATCCTATTTATGCATCCACACTTAATTTTGAAGACAGATAAAATCCTGAAATTCCATTAGTCAGGTTATACCAGCTGTCCCAATAATTCAAGGCCACTGCTATGACACTTGTGTAGACACTCCTGTGCAGACGTTGCCTGCCCCTCTACAAGCAGTTTTTCACCAAAAATACTACAATTACACTCTTGCTTTTGCAGCATTTCACTGGCTGTACTTTCCAGCTTGAAGGTTAGAGATAGTCACAACCCATTTGGCTCTGAAAGCCCCAGCGTGGTTTCCATCTTTGTGAGTTCAGAGGAATTATCCATGCACAGCAATTTGAACTTGAGTACTTGCCCAAATCAGTAAAATAAAAAAACCACACAAACTACTATCTAGACCCTCAAAAATATTTTGAAAATTGTCAAAGCAAACATGGAAGGAAGAAGAGGAACTACCACTGCAAATGCATTTGATGATGCTTTTCAAGCCCACATGGTACTCAGTGTTTGAAATTTGTGAGATTTTCAGGGAAGAAATGGAACTGAAGTGAATTATACCATTAGTAAATGAACTAAGACATTATTCAGCTTCTCTGAAGCAAGTTGAACTCCTTCAAAATACTACAAATAAAAGTTTGCAAAGGATCATGTGCATCCATCATTATACTTGAAGTTTCTTCTTCCTAATATCTTCCAGGCTTTAGCATCTTATACTTTCTGCTAAGAATGATGCCATAAACTGTAAAACTATCCTTCTCATGCATCACTACTGAATGATAAGGAGTAATTGCAATGATCTCTGATGCAGATCAGAACAATCAGAATTTTGCCATTTTTTAAAAATTAGTTTGTTGAACACTAGTGTTTCACTTTGGTATGTAGACAAGGTGGGGTTTTCTCTCTTTAAATTTGAGAAATAAGAAGTCAGAGATAAAATAAAAGGGAGAAAATAAAGAACAGCTCTATGAAAATGCAGCTCTTCAGTAAGATCAATAAAAGTTCTTAACAGTTATCATTGGTCACATTCTACACATTAGGAAAGCTCTCTTGCTGTCCAGTTCTTCTCACTGCCACCATCCACACAGGACTTGAGGAGGTTTGGGCAAGTGCCTCTGTGCTTATATTTCCTAAATCCTTCTTCTTCCACCCAATGGAATTTGTGTCCTTTATAAACACTCATAACCATTTTGTTAAACAACCATCAGCAGTCATAAGCTTAAATCTTGGGAGCCCACTTAACATCTAAACTGATCAGGTAATTTCCATGATCTTTTTTTTCTGGCCACCCTACTTGCTTCTTCTGCCTCTCATAGGCACAGAGAATCATTCTTCATTACAGTCCAGGTCCTTATGAGTCAGAAGTGAGAGTCTTTTATAGAGAGGCTGAGACCTTAAGAGCAACAGTTAGCATTGCAACAGCATCTAAACATCTGTACTCACTGACAAAGATAAAATGTCTTTTTTTGACTTTTCAATAAGTCATGCAGCTTCCCAGATTAATGAGAGAAATACCCTAATGATTCATCAGTGCCATTTCTGTCTAGCTGCTCAAAAGGTGAAATGAAAAAGAGAAAAAAAAAAATATCAAAGTATCTCCTAAATTCTTACCTCAGGACAGTTCACTGAATCAGTCAGTGACTTTCAGTCCTTTCAGTTCCCTGAAGCAAAGGTGTCATAAAGGTCTTGTGTATCTCAGTGATGACAACTTTTTCTGTACTTTTTCCTCAGCCCAAACAGATTGACAATGACTCAGAAGAGTTGCAACCTTCCTCCCTTCCTCACCTCACTGCCTCTGCCCTGGCACCTGAGCCTTGTTGGGCTGTTTTTAGACAAGGAAGCTGGGTTGGGTCTGGTACCCAGTCCTGGGAATGCTGCTTTTCACAGCTCAAAATCCCACCCTTAGATGATGGTCCTATACTTGCACCATAGACTGCATGGGGCTCTTCTCAGCATCTCAGAAGGGCCCCTCACTCCCATGCAGCTGGGCCCTGGATACCTGGAGCAGCTGCTGAATGCCAGCTCCTGCCTGGACCACCCTCTTTTTGTCAGTGCTGCGTGAGCAAGGGGATATGCGTCTCTGCCTCCAAAGCTGAAAAGGTCCCACCAATCCTTCCCTGAGCATGGTACAGTTTATGCTATGCAGGGTTTCAGATCTGGTTGAATTAGGAATCTGAATGAAGGGATTTGTGGGACCTGGCACAAAGGCCCTGCAGTTCTCGAGAAAACAAGGTTTCCTCATGGTGCCAAAGAATGCTTGCTCCCCATGGGAGCCCCGTGCAGAATGGGAGGGGAAGGGGAGGGGAAGGCTGCAGCACCTACCTGACATGTCAGAGGGATCCCATGCCCCCCAGAAATGCAAAAGCCAAGCAAACCAACTATGAAGTTAAAAACTGAATAAATGTTTGAGAAGAGACACAATTAGCAAGGCTATATGCAAATTCCAGTAGAGATTCAGGCCAACATTTTTAGGCTCTAGACACATCCTTGAACTACTGTGGCAATAGTGATGAATCTCATAGGACTGTTGAGTGCAAAGACCCGTAAAGGATGAAAAACTTAGCAAAAAAATAGGCATGAGGTTCACATTGCTGCATTCCTCATGAAACACAAGTGATGATGAATAAAGGCAATACATTTTTACACTGCAAAAGAATGTCCAAAATTTCTCTTGCAAGAATTTTTGTGGCGATTTGAAAACATAACTGCCTTTCTTTCATGCTTACTTTTTTTTTTAACCCAAAACCACTTACATCCCTTATAAGTTACTTGGGATAGAATTCATATTATTTCCAGCTTAGGAACTGGGGCAAACTTTAGGTCCTGATCCTAAAGATTCTCCTACACATGGCTAGCTTTATAAGCATGAGTGGAAATTCTGTTGGCTTGCAGGAGGTTTGAAAAGAGGTTACATAAGCATATAGGTAATTTTATCCCTCTGTGAACTGAAAAGATCTGCTGCATCTTTTGAGGTTAGCCCACCCATAATAAAACTGAATCATAGTAATCTCCTGGTCAGCTGTGCTGTTTAACGAGGTGCATAGGGATCTCATGATAGAATATGAAAAAGCTTTATTTCTTTAACAGTCATTTGAACACTATATTCATTAAAAGAGGGTTAGTATGTCATTTTGTTCTCTAGTTTTCCATGGGTCTTTTACCTGACTGAAACCTACACCTTATTTTCCTCCATTGTCTGGATGCCAAGCTGAGCGAGGTTAATGCTGGTATTGCTTTGAATTACACGCCTACTAATCATTACCATCAAAGCTGGTAGCATTGTGGAAGCACACAATGTGGTGCACTGCAGGTAAAGGTATCACCAAGCTGTCAATCATTTCTTAAATGCATTTGCTGTAAGAGTCTGTAAGATTCATTCTGAAAGATGGCCACAATTCCTCTTTGTCAACACAAGCAATGCCATGTGGAGTAGGAAATCCCTTGTTTTCTTTGCCCTTGCAATTGCATTTCATTTGCTCAAAACCCACTCATGACATCATGTAGAAACAGCATTTAGGGAAGGCGGGGGGGTTGTTTTTGTTTGGTATTCCAGGCAGGATTTTTGGTTGTAGTGATTAAAAAATAAAACCTGATTGTTTTTAAGGTTTTCTCATAATTTCTGAACCTGGAATAGTCTTCCTCTATTGTTGCTTTTCAAAAATGTGCTTTCACAACTATTAAGTATGGGGAAATTTTGTTGTTCTGAACTTTGCTAAAATCTGCTTTCAAAATTTAAATGTGAACACCAAGTGCATTACAATGTTTGCATTCCCAAGGAACAGAGTTTCGACGAGCTTCATTTTCAAATCCCACTTGGTGCTTCTCTTGACTCCTCACCCCTGCCTGCAAGAACCATCTCCTCAAAAAGCTTTGGGTTTGAATTAATTTTCCTCCTTCTCTGAAAAGCTGCCCTGGGCCATGGCTGCCTTCAGGAGATCTCCCCAGGGTGGCTGCCCCTCCCTGGTTAGCAGATGCAGGGGCAGGGGGGCTGGGCTTGCTCTCTTGCAGGCATTAAGCAGTAACCAGCAGCAGAGATTTATTTGCATTATGCTGACCCAATAAATAAAACTGATCTTGACTCTGTAATGTGGAGTGAAGAAAAAGCAAGTAAAAAAATGTACTGGGAAGGAAAGAAACCGAACACCAAGCAGAGAGAGGTACGAGAACATTTTTCTTGTGTGGCTTGCTAAAATGAGGGGTACACCAAATAAGTGGTAAATGCAGTGATGATGAAAACTTCCTCAAGGACCACAGGGCATTTCTGCAGCTCTAACTCAAGCAGTTAAATTTTGTCACAATATGGAATCTAAGGAGAAGGAGAACTCCGCTTTTATTTCTGAATCAGTTTTTGAAATTATTCTGACAGTTTCAAAGAATTTTTTTTTTCTGTCAGAATACTAGAATGGTTTAAGGCAGATTGCGAATAAACTGCCAGAAATGCACTGGTTTCTCTCTAAAATAAAACCAAACAAAGAAATAAAAGAGTAAGGCTTTCTGGGTGCATGGAATTTGACACAAAAAGCAACTGAAAGTATGTCCCAGACCTCAGCATTAGCTCTTGGCTTCTCTGCACTGAAGAGGAAAATTAACTGGTTTAAGAAACGCATATGAAATTTCCCATCTGGCTGACAACATGGATGTTTCTGCTCACTGTGACAATCTGAAAACGCTGCTGAGATGTTTTAAAGTCAGTGTTTGTATCTAAAAAGCCAAATCTTCCACAGCTAAGGTGGCTCTCCTTGCTTCCCTAACGTATAAATTAAGACAATAAAGTCCATCTGAAACTCAATTTTAAAGGTGCACAGCCATGATAAGTATGCTTTGATTAGTACTCTTTAAAATTCATCTTCTTACGCTGAAGCCAGTTCTTACTTTCAAAGTTGTTTTTGTCCTCCATCAATGAACATTTAATAATTGGGTTTAAAGCACGTACAACTGTAGTTTGTATTTACTTGCTAATCAGATTAGCATTGCTAAATACATGTGTCATGTGAAGGTACTGCTACACTCCTTAACTTTCAAAGGTTTCAGGTACTTTGGAAAAACTGATGATGTTATGACAGACAGGTAAAGAGCACCATAAAGCTGTCTGCTAGATACAGCGTATGCAGAAGCAATTTGCCTTCTAAAACTCTGAACATGATATTCTCTAATATTTCTTGGCAGATCTTCAGTAGCTAGAAAATAAGCATTTCCATATGTAAGAAAATATTCCTTTGAAATGTAGATTTTTTCTTTACAAGAAAAGAACACAGAGAGAATTGCATTTTTAAGCTAAGGGTTCATTATTATTTATTTTTCTGCTTTGAAAAATGTTGTGTGTTTCCCATACAGCACTTAGGTGGTAATTGCAATTCTAGGATGAGCTAAATTACTGTTAACAAACCTCCTAGCTGTTTTTGTCCTCTAAGAAAAATCTCTCAATAAACAAATTTTGGCTAATACATAGCTCCTCACCGAATACTTGGGTTATGTTAAATTTAATATACTGCAGCAAACGTAAACTGCATTTATCTAAAATTTAAAATGTGCTCACAACACTGCCTCTCTGTTCTGCTGCTTCAGTAGGGTGTTTTCCCCTTTAAGGAAAGCATTTTAAAATGGTTGCTAGTCATCTCAGTTGCTGCAACCACATGATGCAATCTATTGTCAAATTAGTGGGTGGCAGCAAGTGGAAACAGATTTCACCAGCAATAAAGCCCGTCACATGATTTCATCTGTTCACAGTCATACAATCTCTTAGCCCATTCCTCCTGTTTGATCCAAAGGCTCTGTCCACATGGAAGCTGATCTTTGCTATCTTAAACACTGCTGCTGAATAACAGACTTTGTCTTTGTGGATGGTTTTCCCTAAGTGGTATTTTGGGAGCGTACAGGGAATTAAACTATTTAGCACAGAAAAATTTGCACATTTTTAAAAAAGTGGGCCAAATGCATAGATATTTTGCCAAATCAGAACTAAACTTAAAGAAAATAGTAACAAAATATTTGCAAAAGAAACCAAATCTAATTAAAATTATAGAAAAAGTTATACTTTTAAGAAGCTGGGCATACTATACATAATTATAAATGAGATGAAAATTTTATTGGAAGTACAAATATATAAATCTATCTAGTATTAAGTTAGTGGTCATCACACATGAATCAGCAAAAATATGGAGGGGGGGGCAAAGGAAAAAACTTGGTATAAAAACAGGTACAAACTTGCCACGTAAATGGAAAATCAGAATATTTCTAACCAGAAGTATTGTGTTTTTCTTATGGAATAGTGTCATGATACTTACTTCTAATTTTAAGTGCCATTAAGATTACCATCACAAATTATAAAACCAGTCAGGTGTTCTTGGTTCTTTCTAACTTTGTGAAATATCTTCAGCCCTGCCTGGTCCAGCACAACCAACAAAATGCAGGTTTCAGGGCCAAGATCTCGAATTTGCACATTCATCTTGTAATGATAATGCAAAGAAGAGTGGGGGGATGGGAAGCACAGGCACAAAACCAAAAAGCTTGGAAGAGAACCGTAGTGTGGATAACAGAAGACAGAGGTTTGCCCTACCCTTGTTATATCATACCTGAAAGCCAACCAAAGCAGTCACAGGGACTCAGGGACTCTCCCTCCCTCACACTGCACCCGTCCCCTGTTTCCCAAAGACTTCTAGAAGAGACCAATCGTCTTGTGCACTACTAACCTATGGGAAAGATCATTTTTCAAGGAGTGCAAGTTCCCTTCTGACACCCAAATACCAGGGAAATATGGTTTCTTAGCCCCCTGCTCAGGGCTAGGCTGTGACCAAAAGAATGCTCCATAACTAATCGTCTGCAATATTGCTCTACAATAATTATCTCTCTCAGTTTGAAATGAGGACAAATGCAATGCTCTTCAGATCCTAGACCACCAGCTGAATATTGATTATTCGTGAATAATGTGATTCCCACTTAATGGGCTGGTCAGTTAAATTAAACATAAGTATTTGTGCTGTCAAATAACATGCAAAGGCCAATGAACAAATTTTTCTGGAGAAGTAAATGTCACAGACTTCATTTTTGGAGAACTGCAAGCTAATGTGCAGATCAATAGGATCACAATTTCCTCAATAACTATGTAAATGCTAGGTACAGTGCATGGCATGTGTTTGAATTTCTCAGCCTTTACTCAGATCAACTTTGACTACATGAGGAATCTGGTTATAAAATATATCAACAAAGAGGATTCTCCCTGAAAACACCTAATGCCGCATCCTTTATAAACTATTTAGTTCTCTTGCAGTGTAAGAAATCAGGAAGCATGATAAAACACGGAGCTCTGGATCTAAACGGTGGTCCAGTTCAAAAAAGTACTGACTGATGGGCTTAATTTTGCTTAAGCTTCACTAGAGTTAAACATGTGCATAGAGATTTTATCAGTGTATTTGCTGGGCTCACTGCTAAAACTAATTTATTAGTGAGGTAGTTTCACAGACAAAAAGAAGGACAGTGGTATGAGACAGAAGTCCCCAACCTCAGAGTCAAAGGCCCTCTTTTTTTTTGTCTATGTAGTCATTCATGTAAATAGACCTGCACTTAATTGTATTTAATTTAATTTCAAACATATCTGTATTTTATGTAGCCATTCTTGTAAATAGCTCTGCTTAAAAAAAAATATTTATGCAAGAAGATCAAGTATTTGCACGTCTAAGGACCCATTTTGCATGGGCAAATAGTTGTTTACACATACAGATGAAAAATAGGGATACACAGATATGCAAGTGACACTGAAATCTTGACACACATTGCCTTACAGGATGAAGCTGGAAAAAAGTCAACAGGCAAGAATTATCCAATTAAAAGTTCACAGTCGTGTATGCATTTGGAATTAGTTCTAAAGGCTTTGCAGAAGGAATGTACTGCAGTAAACATTTCATCGTCACTAATTCTGTCCAGATTCATTCAAAAGCACATCCCCTTCTGAAGATCCATTAATACATTTTTGATTTAGAGAAAAATCAGCAAACCATTTGTTTCAGAAAGCTGCCAAAATAAGATTGAGACACATGTAGTGGAAAAGTATCAGGACTTTATTCACTCTCAAGAAAAAAAAAAAAAAAATCAGAACAAAACCCAAAACTACAGAGGATCTGAGAGCAAAATCTGGGTCTTGGTATTTTAAAACAAAAAAACTGAACATGCACTAGTTGCTATAGAGAGAATCTCTTACTTTCAACCACAATTGCAGATGTGGTGGTGTTGAAGTGAGTATGTGTGTCCTATAATATTTAACAGCTATGTAAAAGATGCATAAAAGTGATCTGAGATATTTTTCCCCAAAAAGATATTGGATAATTGTGAGTCATGCACTGACTGCCCAAAGGAATATAGGAACATTCCACAAATAACTGAGACTTAAGTAATCCTAGACAAAACATAACAGTTGGTCAAACAGAAGTGCTTGTTTACCGATAACACATTAAAAACAGTAAAATAAAGCATGCATTAAACAATAGGCAAATGTAAAGAATTTAAACAGTTGTTTCATCTTTCTGTGTGGAAAATGATGAAAGGAAGTCTGGAGTCACTAATGAGAGGTAAAGTACACCTTACCATTCAGTGTAGCAGAGAAAGTTCACTGCCAGAGTATCCTCAACCCATTCCCCACCCAGATCAGTGCCTTTTCAATCATGTAAAGTCCCTCCTGACATAAATGAAGCTTACTGGCCTTTCTTAGTACAACAGATAGTACAATGTGGTTGAAAACTCCCTGCTGTTTGAAGCTATTAATACTTAACTCTGAGATCACAGTAGCTCCAAAAGGCCACTGAATAAGGCCACATGATTCTACATTTAAGGCAAAAACTGAGGAAGTAGCAGTCTGCCTTGGAGAGCTTCAACTCATTTATGTGGCCCCATCAGGCAATTTCTGAACCATTTTCTAGATTTATTGTCTAGAAAATACAGGCTCAAGTTCATTGTCAAAGTGCTATTTTTGCAACCTCTTTTTATGAGGGCTTGGGTTTAGAATCGTAGACTCATTCCTGTGCAGCTTGTGCCAATGTTTGACAACCCTTTCAGTGAAGAAATTTTTTCTAATATCCAACTGAAACCTTCCCTTCTGCTGCTCGAGGCCATTTCCTCTTATTCTATTGCTCATTACCCAGGAGGAGAGACTGACCCCAATTTGGGC